ATGGTTTCTATTTTCTCCGCATTAGGTAAATGGGGCAATTTGGGAAGTGGAGGTAGGCTAGGGATCTCACCAGGTGGGTTCACACAAGGCTCATTTGTAAGTGGGTTGTGGGGGTTAAACTCTGGTCCCTCGAAGGCTACTAAATCTTCTATATTAAAGGTATGATTGATGTTAAAACCTTCGGGGAGGTCCAGCACGTAAGCATTACTGTTTATCTTGGAAATGATTTTGAAAGGTCCGGCGCTTCTCGCATGCAATTTCTTCGCGGATCCGGGAGGAAAACGCTCCGAACGGATTCGCACCATCACAGAGTCTCCAACTTCGAATTCTTTAAGCCTTTTCTTTTGATCACCAATTAATTTGTAATTGGCGTTGCTTTGCTCAATTTTCATTTTAATTTCTTTATGCAATTCCTGTATGTGGGATGCAAATGCAGATGCTGATTCTGACACTCTAAACCTAAGACTCATGGGAAGCAAGTCTATGGGTTGTCGGGGTAGGTATCCGTACACGATTTCAGCAGGACTCAGACCAGTGGTTCTATTGACGGAGTTGTTGTAAGAAAATTCAGCAATAGGAAGCTTGGAATCCCAATCCCGTATGTTCTCTCCTACCAAAGTCCTTAGAAGATTTCCTAAACTTCTATTAACCACTTCGGTTTGCCCATCGGTTTGGGGGTGGAAGGCTGTGAAAAATTGGAGTTTTGTGCCCATTTTGTGCCATAGGGTTTTCCAAAAGTAGCTAGTAAACTTGACATCCCTATCGGAAACGATGGTCTTGGGTAATCCATGAAGTCTAACAATCTCATCAAAATAGAGTTTAGCAATACGGAAGGCGTCAAAAGTCTTAGTGCAAGGGAGGAAATGGGTCATCTTAGAAAAACGGTCGACAACTACACAAATCGAATCATCTTTTCTCATAGTCTTTGGTAAACCAAGAACAAAATCCATACTCACATCCTGCCATGGACAATTAGGTACGGGAAGAGGGGTGTAGAGCCCCGTATTCTGCTTGCATTGCTCAGCGAGTTGGCAGGTGTGGCGCCTCCTAAGAAGTCTACTAACGTCACGCTTTAAACTAGGCCAGTAGAATCGGTTTTCTAAGGCAGCCATGGTCTTGGCTTGTCCAAAGTAACCCGCTAACCCTCCAGCATGTAATTCCCAAACAACAAATTCTCGCAGTGACGTTTTGGGAATACAGAGTTTCTGGGATTTAAATAAATATCCATCTTCCAACACGAAATCTCCTATAATCTGTTCATCTCCAGTGGTAAGCGTAGAATAGGTTTCTCTAAAATCGGGGAAGTCTGGGTAGTCTTCCTTAAGTCGCTCGAAACCTATTACTTCAGTAGTCATCTCCCTAGTAATCATCATTCGACGGCTTAAGGCATCAGCAGCCTTATTTTCAGATCCTGCTTTATGTCTAATGGTATACGTGTACTCTTGCAGGAATTCAACCCAACGGCTGTGCCGAGCATTGAGTTTCTTTTGAGAATTAATGTACCGCAAAGCCTCATGATCCAAAAAGATAACAAATTCTTGCGGTAGAAGGTAGTGTCACCAATACCTAAGGGATTGAATGATGACATAAAATTCCTTGTCGTAGGTGGAGTACCGTTGTCTAATGTCATTCAATTTCTCGTTAAAGTAAGCGACCGGGTGTCCCTCTTGTGATAGGACTCCACCTATACCAATTCCAGACGCATCACAAGTCACTTCAAAAACTTAAAAAAAATCAGGTAATCTCATCATAGGGGCTTCCATCATTCGCTTCTTAATCTCCTCAAAAGCCCTAGTTCCAGCTATGGTCCAAAGAAACTCTCCTTTCTTAAGGCAGTCCGTTATTGGCGCTACGATGGTGCTAAAATTTCGAATAAACCTCCGATCAAATGTGGTCAATCCGTGAAAACTTCTAACATCTCTAATATTCTTGGGTTCTTTCCACTCATTTATAGCTCGCACCTTTTCGGGGTCAGCAGATATGCCTTGGGAAGAGATGATAAATCCAAGGAAGGTTACTTGATTTGTTAAGGAAAGTGCACTTCTTAGGATTGGCATGCATCTGCTCCCTTTTCAAAATTTCACAAACTTGTCTTAGATGATTCAAATGTTGTTCCACCGAATGGTTGTAGATTAGAATATCATCAAAGTATACGACAACAAACTTTCCAAGGAAAGGCCTAAGGATCTGAGTCATTACTCTCATAAAAGTACTTGGGGCGTTGCTTAATCCAAAAGGCATTACAGTCCACTCATATAACCCATCTTTGGTTTTGAACGCCATCTTCCATTCGTCCCCAGGGCGGATTCTAATTTGGTGATAGCCACTCTTAAGTTCGATCTTAGAAAATAGCATGGCTCCGGTCATCATGTTCAACATGTCATCTAACCGAGGGATTGGGAAACGGTACTTCACAGTGATTTTGTTGATAGCACGACTATCAACCCACATTCTTCACGACCCATCATTCTTAGGGGTAAGAAGGGCAGGAACCGCACACGGGCTAAGACTCTCCTTAATGAACCCTCGTTGTAACAACTCATCCACTTGTTTCTTGAGCTCCTCATGCTCAGCAGGGTTCATTCGGTAATGGGGTAAGTTTGGTAAAGAAGCTCCAGGCACTAGGTCTATAGCATGTTGAATGTCCCTAAGAGGTGGCAGTTGGTGGGGCAGATCTTCAGGGAAAATATCAGAAAAGGTTTCTAAGAGCGGTCTTACTTCCTCGGGTATAGGTTCTTCTTGATCTACAATCACTTCCCGAGCTACTAAAGCGTAAAGAAGGATCCTGATTCTAGTTCCATACCTAAGTCTTTAGCAGTTAATAAGTTCAAGCCCTTGTTGGGTTTCAAGGAGTTGGGCTTAACTTCATCTTTGGTATATTTAGGTTGAGTGGGCAGGAGTTTAATTTTCTTTCCCTCGTGTTCAAACACACAGGTGTTTGATCGGCCATAAATGTGGACATCGTTATCGAACAACCAAGGGCGGCCAAGGATGATTTGACCCACATCCATTGTCAAAACATCGCACCAAATTTTCTCCTTATATCCAATAAACTCAATAGGAACGAGACTCCTATCTTTCACCTCCAAGGTGGTTGAGTTGATCCATGCAACTTTGTAGGGGT